TATTTTTTGTTGCGCGCCTTGTGCGTGTGTGTGTGCAATGGCTATGCATTCGTGTGCTTCGGTCGCGTATGACTCGTGAACGCACTCGCTAATATCGCGCAACGAGCCCGCCGCATTAACGGTCTACGATATTATAAACTAATATTGTGTTTAAATAATAACGAGCCGGCCGCGTTTATCTAAATACAATCTAATTAGAAAAATGTACGGAGCGCCAAAGTGGGAGTAGTTTTCTTTAACGAAAAAAACCGAAAATATGCGCGTCAAAATTTCGGAATGGCTTACGTGTTAGAATGTTATGATATGTGAGCTTTAATTATAGGCTCTCTTGTTACGTCTTGCTATGATTTTTATGTTTGAGGCCAAATTTTGAATTATGTAAATTTCGCCAGTGATTTCTTCCACCTTTAGAGTGCCTCAGGTTTAGTGGCAAGTCGCAGTTGTGTGTAAGTACCTACCTGCAAAGGAAAACAATTTGTTTAATTTTATTCGTACACAGTTGGCGTGTCTTTTGATGAGCACATTAAAATTTCATTTATTCGCGTTATTACGGGCTCGAACAGCAGAATAAACACTGGGTAACTGACTGAAGCAGTCGCAATTGCAACAATGGCATAACAACAATGAGAATATCAAATCGAGGAATATGGGCGCGCACGAAGTGCCTTGTTAATTAACTTAATTACAAATGAGTTGTGCAATTTCAATTTGCATTATGCCTTTCGTCGTAATCGTCGTACATTTCTCTCGAGTTTATTTCTTTATTCGCATTGCATTGTCGTCAGTCGGTGCTCACCACGCGGCGTGCAGAAGTAAAGAGTGCCGCTTCTAAGATACCATCCACTTGTGGTTGTAATAGTGTTTGATGAGAAATACACCGGGTATAATTGGCTGCGTTCTGGTTTTATAATCAACACGCGCGCGCATTGTGCACTCAACATATCGCGGTTTGCCTGGAGGGTCGTTAACGTTTTGCTTATTGCATTAATTTATTTACCATACACGGAATTATATATCGTGCGCGCGCGCACACAGATGATCGACTTTTAGCCATTTCTCACGAGTTGCTGCTCTCATCGCGTATGCAAACTCAGCACGTCTCGGGCGACTTAAAAAGTGGCGCGCGTCCATTTTACACAACTTGTGGAATAAAACGAGATGCACGTCCAAATGTTCCCATCCACTGGTGCACGTGTGCTTGCTACGAGCAGCTAGGAAGACTGCGGCCGACCCAATAAAGATTCAGAACCTGAAACCAGAATCTTGTGGACGCGGACGGAATGAAAGCCGGGAGTTTCTAGTAATAAAACTCGGCAATGCAAATGCGAGGTCTGGCTTGGAGCTGGAATTTGCATAGCTGCGCGGAAATTGCGTGATTCACACTGATTTTTTTCCCGCGGCTCTGGCAGACAAAAGCGCCTGACTAATGGCACACATCAGAATCAGCTAGAAAAATGCTCGTGTTGTGCATTTCGAAGAGACCCACGTTGAGCTGCTGGTGTAAAAGCGGGTTCGTGTAATGATATACAAAGAAATTGTGTGTTTAATTTTTTTACTAAGAACTTGGCCGGATTCCTGGCCCATCACAACTCGATAACTATGTGCTGCGACTGCATTGTACGAGGAAATCGCCGTCATGATTACTCCAGGTCACGAATTACCGACATCGGAATTCACTTTAACACATCCGTTATTAGAATCTCTCTTCTCTGCTGGCTTTAATCTCGCATCTTGCGTTTGCGTTTTCGTCGACGATGAAAACCTGCTGCGAAGCAGAATACGATGAGAATCGGTGTTGTTGTAGGAGACGATAAATCGTGCTGGATTCGGCGTTAAAAGCTGTGAGCGCTTCACGCCCAGCCTGAAAATTAATTATCTTCGCCAAAAAATTACGGCGACGGCCGATGTAATTATTTAAATGTTTAATATAAATAGTTTTTTGAACGACGCGTTTACTCTTTGTATCGTGTGGAGTGTGCTGTGTTAATGCCTTGAGGCAACAGCGTCTAATTGCGACTTTTTAGCGGCTAATTGTTGCCCTGGTATAAAAGCGACGTTTTGCGCCTGGTTCTCTCGGACTGCGTGCCGAGCGGATGGCAAACGGCGAAAAAAACGAATCAAATCGCGTGTTCGACAGCGCGCCACAAGTGCCTCGATAAATCAGGAAGTGTTTATACACCTCTTTACGTATCGATATACAACTGTAAATTGAAAATGACTCTGCGAGAAGTAGTCAGTCGGCGGGCTAGATGCCTCCGCCAGTGGTGAAGAAGAAATTGAATATTGCTGCCAGGTCGTTTTGCTCTCGTTGCCGCTTTGCACGAAAATGTATGTATGCGTGCAACAATAAAAATAGCGTACACGTAGAAATTCTAAAGGTAAAGAGTGTGCAAGAGGTACAAACTGCCGCGCCGAGCCGACAAAACGAAGGAAGCGAAACGCAAAGAAGTCTGCGGACCACGATCTAATCTGCAGAGAGACGGCCGAAGTCCGAGGTGCTTCAGCTAGCAACCAAGAGCAAGACACAAGGCACACACCGTCGGAGGTAAGTACGAGTAGTGAACCGTTCCGCGCGGAACCGCAACGTACTCGTAGGTAACATTCTATACACGCCGGTTACCTAAGAGTAGGTCACGTGCATGGTAATTTTTGCCCCGAATAATGAATGCATTCAGCTGTACAAAAAGCAACAACTCCTACTCGTCCACAACGTTCCTCGACTACGAAGTGCCTACTTCTTCTACAATGCGAGAGAGACTCAGAATGAGTTGCGAAACGTACGGTCTTGAGACAAAACAACGAGAATTCTATATGCATGCGGATAAACAATAATAATTTGCAAAAGAGGTTGATGTTGTTCGTGCATGTGTGAGCGGCGAGTACGTGTTGCGCGAGACAAACGACCATCGACCGGCGAGCGCGCGATGTGAATATGCATGCGGATTCGTCGTAGAGGTATCGAGAAAACCGGGATTAACGGTACACTCGTCGATTCTTTGCGCGCGATTTCAACTCTTTATAAAACGGGGCAATACTTTTAGCGATCGACCATAACTGCGATTTGAGATGATAGCGCTATCTGTACATCCTACAATTACGTTTATGACTGGGTTTTATTGACGATTGTTTGCTAACTGGCCTCGAGTTTTATCTGCTTTTTTCTCTTCGTTGTGTAAATGCAATGTTAAAGGTACGGAAATGGAGTTTTCATGGACGAAAACAACTGTTAAGCTGTTACGCATGTGGGTTGAGCTCTCGTCATAGACGCATCAGTCTGACAGGCTGCAGGCAGTGATGAGGAAGAACCGTTTTCGTTTTTTTTTTCTACACGATGTGTTTCAAATTTGTTTACTAAACGTGCGCATGCAAACCACCAGGTTCACTGATTGACCCTCCAAAGGCCGACAATTAATAATCGCGCGCTCTCCACGTATCTAAACGAGCAACTTCGTGGTTCATCCATCCCGGTGCTTTGCATTCGGGTTCGTGTACGTGACACGTTTGATCTATGGAGTTCCGTTTTGGGAAAAAATCGAAAATCAATTAGTATTAAGCGTTTTGCGTTTACACCGCTATCTATGACCATGTTTGAATCAGCTACAAAGATTATTTTTGTGGACGGCCAAATTGAATTGAATATTGATGGTGAGTCTAGGCACACACAAAATGGCAATAGTCAAGCGAATAAATCTATTTTGTCACTTTAGGCGAAATGCCAGCGACGATATATGAATATTAAATGATCAAAGTAATTTATGTCGATGTTATCTTAAATATTATAAATTAATTTGTTGGTCGCTGCGCTATAGAACAGCGCAATCTGATGGGACCGCTTTTAATGGAGATACTGCAATGGATGTGGGTATGCTGCGACGTCTCTCCGAAGAACAAGTAAAAAGCGGTTAAAAATATGTATCTGAGCGATATGTCGAAGTTATCTAATCGCAGCGGCCATGTAATGAAATTCAATAAGTCCGATTGACTCACATCCACTGTCCTCATCCACCAGAACGCATCTGAGCAGTCTATTATGAGATACAGGACGTGCTCGAAAGATGATTGCATATTGAACTGGTTATTTGACGACAGTTATTTGCTCACTTGGTATGTCAACGTGGTGTGAGCATCAGCGGAGTAGAGTTCCAGGATTCATCGGTTATAAAGCTTAGATTCAATTTGTCAATGTCCGATCCGATTTGATCACGTCGGTTCGCTGTGCTCCTTCATCTGCTGCCGAGGACCAGTTTGTTGGTTTTACCCACTCTTGTTTTTCCTGCCACGCTTCGAGATGCTTTTTACTGCGTGTACAGCGCTTATAATTAGTTAAACAATTTCGAATCGTCTCGTTTCACCTCATCTGAGCAGTTGGGTTGAAGTTACAAGTACTTAACGCTTACCACAGCACCGTGCATACTCGATCTTCTACGCTGATGTGGAACGTGTGGAACTCCTCAAGGCGCGCATTTAAATATTACGTTACAATTATAATTTATGAAAATAAAGCTGCCGAGTTAGTGTGGAAAAACAAGGCGAAAAAATCGACCACAAGTCCAGCGGAATGGACGCCGAGAGAAAAAAATTCTCAAAGAGAAGAAGACAAAAAAACACACGAAAGGAACGAAAACGACTAGGTACGATAATCATGACCGTGGATCGGGTTCCTCGTTACGAAAGCGTTAACAATCTCGACCTGCAGCTGAATGCACATGCACGCCGACGACTCGCCGTAGCTTCCAACTATGCGCCCAACGCGCCTCCGACTCTTCTTCTTCGCTCTTTTTCTTGTTCTTCGTGTCTTCAGCGCTGGTCTTGCTCGTGCATCCGCCAGCGCCATGCTGCTTCGATGCGTTGGTTTTCTCAGGTCGTTCGGTTACGTATCACATCTCGTTTTATTTTGGCGATGCGATCCGAGGCGATTTGGACGCGCGAGGTGAAATAAAAAGCGAAAATGAATACAGCGCATCGCCGAAGAATGAAATTTAAAGAAACAGAAAAACTGATTAAGATATTCGCATATTCTTTTATTATTATTTACTCACAATCGGCATCGCAATAAATTCACACAGTGATAAATAAGTTTACTAAATAGGCACTTGTTTTGTGTTGCACATTGCGCGCTTATTTCTGGGAGATAATAAGAATGCGTCCTTCTTGTTTTATACAAAAATCTTCGCGTCTTCGTCGATTTACAAACGAAAAACTAATAACAAAATAAATATCAGACATGTATCTATTACACACAAGTTACAGTTGTTTTAAAAATTGTATTTACACATTCGTCGTCGACTTGCGCCACTCGTAAAATACTATAATACAAAAAGCGTTGACAATTTTTTCTTTGCCTATTCACTAATTTATACACTTTGTTTCTGCAATTTATGTACACCTTGGGCAATTTTTATCGCATTCAATCTTGAACAAATTTAGACTCTGTGTTGAGTTGAATCGCACTATTATCCATTCATTCGTATCACAAATTCACTCCACAAATCACTGCAATTGCACGCGCAAACAGTCTCATGATAGAAAAGTAGGTCGTCGAAGTATGTAAATAAAAGATTAAAATTTCTACAATAATTAATTAAATTACGTATCACAATTAGCTGACAATATTTTTGTATATAGGATATTTCTGTTCTTGTCCCTTTTTTTGACACGACGCACGCACTATATGTGAATGGCGACGGTGCGCTGCCCGTTGCCGCCATTCTGGCCACGCGCCCCGTGGCGATGCACGTGGTGGTGGACGTGCGGCCCCCGCTGCGAGCCGCGGCGCCTCTGGTTCATCGGCACGTCCGGCAGGGCGAACTTGAGCTTCTCCCAGAAGAGCTTGTCGCCCCACTGAAGGTAGACGTTCGTCTTCAGATAGAGGCGAATATCCGGATCGAGGTCCTTTTGTGGCACTTCACCCAAAAGTATGACGATGAGGCGTCTGCGCCGGTCGCGCAGAATCTGATGATGTGCCGACTTGAACTCGAAGCGGCACCACTCCGATTTGATGAAATTCTCCGACAGGATCATTATCGTGCGTTTGGAGGATTCTACCGCTTGGACAATAGTGTCCGGCAGGAAAGCACCCACGGGGAAGTCACGGTAATTGAGGCACAGTTTGTAGTTGGGCTCTAAAGCCGGCGCGAGCACTTCTGCCACCCACGCCTCGTCCTTTGAGCTGTAGCTGACGAACGCGTCAAACAGTTTATCGCGATCATCCCGATCGAAGTCGGCTGATTTATGAAACAGTCGCACACCAAATTTTGAATGACACCACACGCGCACTTCTTGTCTGAAGATGAACAGCAGTAAGGTGACCGCGACGATCACAGCGAACACGGCCAGTGTGACCACGAGCAGCGGCAGGTAGTCCTGTATGGCCTGCCGCTTGATGATCGTTTTGGTGGCTGTGAGGTTGCCGTTGATACTGTTGTCGATGTTGGCGGCACCGGCGCACACTGTGCCGTTCTCCTGGCGCACAAAGAACCCGAGCTCAGGGTTATCCTCGTACATGTTCTCGTTGTAAAAGTCCAGGTCAGTCGTGTTGTACACGCAACGCACATAATTCAAGTCTTTAACTACGTCGCCGGCGCGGATCATCCACTCGCGCAACTTTTCGCTGAACTCGCAATCGCAAGACCACGGGTTCGACGCGAGACTCACTTCGATTAAGGTCGTTGGCAAATACCAAACACTGTAATCACTGATGCGGTTATGGTCCAACTTTAACACGCGCAATTGCCGCAGATCGGCGAACGTCATGTTGTTGATGTGGGAGATTCGGTTATGCTGCAGCATGATCTCTCGTAGTCCAACCAGCCCTTCGAATTCGTAACCGTAAATTTCGCCGATGCGATTCTGGTCCAGATGGAGAACCTCCAGATCCTTGAGGCCATTGAATGTTCGATTGTGAATTAATTCGATGTTGGAGTTGTTGAGGAAGAGCACTTTGAGCTTTTTACGCCCGATGAATGCGTGGCTCTTCAAAAATCGCAAATCGTTACCATCTAGATACAATTGAGTGGCATCCATAGGGATCTGTTCCGGAAGTTTCTCCTCATATCCTGCATTTGAGCAGTCCACCACATTTGCAGACCACGATTGATCATGATAGCACGTGCAGTTGTTGGGGCAGGTCATTTCGCAGTCGCACGCATCAAAATCGCAACAGTGGCAGAGTGCGAAGCAATGCGTTTGATACGTGCAGAGGAACTGATAAGGTGCTGCCTCGACGAGCGGCACGTATGTCCGGCCCCGATTGTACATTAATTGACAGTAAATACTCTCCAGGTCGACGAGCTTGGGTTGCGTGCGTGCCCGATTCCCGCCGTTCACTTTCTGCAGCCATTCCATTGTACAGTCACACTGAAACGGATTGCCGCCGATGAAGAACTCGGGCAGTTCTTTCTCGGGCGGCACCGCCGATATCCGCAACGAGTTGGAATCCAAGCTTGTGATCTTGTTGCCGAAGAGATCTACTCGCGTCAGGTTGGGCTTCTTGAAGAACGTGTACGACTGCACCTTTGATATTTGATTGTCGTTTAAAAAGAGCACCTCGACACTGTTTGGTATCGCGGTGCCTGTGATTTCTGTCAGCTTGTTGGAGCTAGCGTCAAACGTGCTCAGGGAGAGAGTGGACTCGATTTCAAAGTAGTTGCCTAGTTCTGCGATCTGATTTGAATGGATATCGAGCCATTGCAGGCCTGCCGGTATAACGGCGTAGTCGAACCACTTTAGGTGGTTGTCCGAGATGTTTAACCAGACCAAACTGGGCAGCTTTGCGAAGAGATCTTTAATGTCGGTCAAATAGTTGCCGTCCAGGCGTATGGCTTGCAGATTTAGATTGTTGTCGAAGGTACCCGGTGCGACGTGCTGCACCTTATTTCCCGACAGGTTCAAGATCTTCAACGAGACCATCTTGTCGAAAACGCCTTTTGTGATGTTCCCGATGCTGTTCTCGGTTAGGCGTAGACCAAAGAGATGCTTCATGTCGGAGAAGGTCTCGTTTCGGATGGAATCGATAAGATTCTCGCCGAGGTCCAATGACTTAAGCATGGGTACATTGGAGATAACTTCCGGCACTTGCATGAGTTTGTTGCCGTTCAAATGCAGGTCCTGCAAACTGGAGCAGTTCTTCAGTGCCTCCGGGTGAATGGACGAGATTCTATTATTGTCTAGCGATAGCAGCGTCAGCACGTTCACGCCGCGGAACGTATCGCCGTCGATCCTCGTTAATTTATTGTTTGAGATTATAAGCGTGTGAAGATTGTACAACTCGGCGAAAGTGTTCTCCGGCACTATTTCGATAAAGTTATCGTTCAGTCTTAAGATTTGCAGGCTGTACAGATCACGAAACACGTTTGGTTCCAGCTTTGCGATGCGATTGTATGATACGTCCAGGACGACTAGTCTAACAAGGCCCGCGAAAGTAGCTGAATTAATCCAATCAGCGGTGAGCTCATTATGACTGAGGTCCAGCACTAACAATTGTGTTAGCTCACTGAAGAGTCCTGGTGCGAGGACATTGATGGAATTGTTCTGCAGGTACATCTCTTTGATTTCGCGCGTCTCGGCGAAAAGCTCAGGAGGTAGGCTGACCAGTCTGTTATCCGCCAGCTTGATGATGTTCAACGAGACGAGGCCCTCCAGAGCACGGTCTGCCAGATGCGTCAAGCCGTTGCCTTGCAGGTACAGCTTCTGCAGCCGGCTCAGGCCCGACAACTGACCTGCTGGCAGACGGTCGATATTATTGCGCGACAGGTCCAGCAATCGCAGACTAGCACCGCACCGCTCGGTCGAGCTTTGAGCAAATTTGAAACTCGATACTTCACGCAGCCGGTTGCGAGTTAGATTGAGTACTTCGAGCGAGAAGAGCGGACACACCGCACCCTCTGGTAAACTCCACATGTTGTTTTCGGCGAGATCCAGTCGCTCGAGTAGTCGCAGCTCTTCGGAAAACGCATTTGGCGCAACTTCCAAAGTCATCGCCGACCAGTCCGTATTGTGGGTCCGTACCGTAAGATTTCGGAGTTCTTTTAATCCTTTGAACGCGCCATCGGACAAGTTGCCGATTTTGCAGTACTCGATGGACAACTCGCGTAACTCCACCAGAGGCTTAAAACTACCCGCACTTAAGCTGCTCTGAAAGAACAGATCGTCACTGCACTCTAGTCTCAGCCGCACCGTGTGCTGCGGCTGTATCACACTGAAATTCGTATTCTCCAGTTCGCTGTTGATGGTGCGCAGGCGGCACACGAGCGCGACATCGTCGTCGTCCGCGCCGCCGTCGACGACGACCCACTTGCACTCGTCCGGCGCTTGATAGCGCAGCGCCTTGCTGAGCGACGCAGAGAGCACTCCGAATATCGTCGCGAACAGCAAGACACACACCGTTGTGGTGCCCATGTCGTCACACGCGTTTTGCGCGATAAACTACACCATTGTAATAAGAAAGCAGGCTCAGCAGCAGCCGTCGTCTCCGTTCACACATACCGCGCACAACCGCTACGCTCGCCGTTCGCTGCCTGACTGAAGGTGCTCCTGCCGGCCGCTCGAAGACAAGGCCACGGACTCTTGCGGCGAGCGCACGGCGTCTCACCTCGTCCCGCACCGCAGGTACCGCCATACCTTTGCCACACTCTGCCTCACCTTCCACCGCGGCCGCTTCTTCTTCTTCGCGCAGCTCCTTCGGCGCGTACCTCTTAACACGGCTGCGTCTCGTCCAGCGGCTCGCACCAACCGGCCGACTCGCCGGCGCTCATAAAAAACTGTTAACTGAGACCGCTTTTTTTACGTGAACGCCGGGTTTTCTATCTGATCGACTGTTAAAATCGCCGGCCGGTCGACCGCGCGCTCGGCGCGTTGTTAGTATTCACATAGTTTCAGCGTACGAATAAAACATCCCTTGCCTTGACACTGCCGCGCAACCGCGCGGTGCGTTGTCGGGCTGCGCGTTCTTGCACTTTCGCACGATAAATTCGATGCTCGTTTTTGTTGCGCCCTTGTTTTCGTTTGGCGACCATGTTTGTGGACCGCCTCACGTAATGACTTAATTTATATGATGATTGTGCATCATTAATTATTTTTGCCGGCACGCATGCGCAGGCGTCTTTGGTAACTATGATTAATAAAATGTACAAGTGCGTTTGAGCGCTGCATCGCGCGCGCCCGCGATCATCGGGTATTCACTCGAACGATTAACAAGTTCTCGCTCGGCTGCCATTACAGAGCTCACCTTTTCGTACCGTATAATATCGGGCGCCCGGCGCGTACGCCCAGACCGCTCACGCGCTCGCGTCTGGTGAATTTAACTGTACATTAGGCAACGAACCCAACGCATTGAAATGTGCATCCCCGTTGGAAAACGTAGGAAAATAAATCGATTTCATTTAACGCCTTGGTCGTGCTTTTTTATGCTGGCCGAACGGAATTTAAATAAAAACGAACTCATTTCAAAGTTTACGTTTCGATGGTTATTAACGAGTTTTCCCAAGCATTAAATCATCGCCCTACTACAATAGGCACCACAAACCGAAGAGAGTTGGTACCTGTGCGTTGCTGCTCGGTGTCATCGTCGATGCGCATCGGACCGCTCTTTCATACCCCTTTATCTCCGCTCTGGACGCAATGACTTTCTCATCAGGGTTAACGAAATTCTGTGGGTCGTGAATCGTCATCGTGCGCGTTATCCACGTCGCCGACACATTAACTTGTTTCAATTGTAATGGGACGGCGATGAGTGACGATGAAAAGTATCTTGTAATCCGGAACAAATTAGCATGAAGATTTATTTCCTGAACGCTGGCACTGGCACTATCATCCATGCTTCGAGTGTGTTTTCAGCTCTTTAACCTCTTCTTTTATTGTCGACGCAGACGACGATGACAACACACAACATCGTGTATTGTCGCCGTTGGATGGTGTTCTAAATTTTTTTCCTGAGGGCGCAAAAGGAACAACAAATCACAAGATAGAGAAAATACTGAGTTGAATGACATCCTTCCTGTTCTTACTGGAATTCAATTATTTATTTATATATAGGTGCATGCCTAGGACAATTGAACGCTTGTAGAAATAATTAGTTTCTTTATACTCAAAAAACTACTACATAATGCCCAGTGGGCAGAAAAAATATTTAATTATATTAAAACAAAAAGCCATGCACGAAGCTGTTTATGGTGAACGTTTTATCCAGTTATTTAAATTACAATGATACGCTGATTCCGTACGGTAGAAGCTCGTTTAACGAATGGTGCGGTGCACAAATGAGTTCCTGCGAAATTCGCAATTAATTTCAATTAAAGTGTTTTTCCGTGTCGACTTTAATAGGTGTAAAGCTTGGAAGGATAGACATGCTTGCGTTTTGCAGCAGGCGCTATCTGCCAGCCCATTGTTTATTTAATCAGTTATTGTTGTGTTGCGCCATGTTTGTGCTTGCGCTTGTCATCTATTGTTAAGTAGATGCGCTTCAAGCTCCGATATAATTTGCGCGAGGACGTGCGGAACTTGGAAATTGATTTGCGCCACGAAAACCAGCAACCTGCAATCTTTTTCGGTTATCACTTGCTATTAGCAAGCCTGCCAGCCGATTCGACGCGGAATATCTGCACACGTGCGGCCGAATTTTACAATTCTGGTAACCGCCGTTTAGTTTCTACCGGGAATAGCCACAATTTCCTTATTGCCCGCTCAGTTTTCGCACCACAACGTTCGGTTATGTGTGGTTATTGAAACGTGCCTCAGGTTGGCGAGTTTTCACCGGCACGCCGTGATGACGATGATATACGAGCGACCATTAACATCGGGCAGTATCTTAACAGGTCGTCGTGTTCGTTTAGTTTTATTTACAAGCCAGCCGGGGATGTTTTAATATTCCCCCGAAGATGGGTTTTTCATGTAGTCGGATTCCTTGCGCTCGTTATTAATTGGGCAATAACGCGCCGCGCGTCCGTGCGGCGTGCGTGTGTCGCGCTTTAAACGCACTCGCGACCACAAGAAGTAAAGAGCAAACAGGCGAGCAAGATGCGCACATTGGGATCGGGGCCTTAAGCTCGATTGGCGCTGAGGTGACTCGCGTCGTGTTTTATTGCTGCACGAAGAAGTACCGCGCAACACAAGAAATTTTCAACCAGAATCACTGACTGCCTCAGCAGTCTTTTAACGCTTCGAGTAGAGGTGTACGGACTCTGCGCCGACATCTCAGACAGGAACGCACGCGCAGTTGGCGCTGAGAAAATAAACAAATGAGAATCCCCGCGTTCGCCAGGTTGCAGGCGCGATGGCGAGAAGAAAAAAGAGGTAAAATTCGCATCTCGCACGTCGTTCGTTCTTTTGTCTAACGAGGGTGTCGGCGCGATGTATCAACGGACGGAGCGCGCCGAGGCAATAAGCCGAGAAACGCGCCGACGGCGCGACCGGGCGAAATTTATTTGCATTTATTAGTTTACGACGCAAAGGTGCATAATAAAAAAGTTGATTCTCATCAGCGGAGATTAGGATCGACTATTTGGTTAGTGGGTTTCCACACCGTGCGCCGCAGCAAATGCGAGAAAATTGAAAGAAATAAAACGTAATATACTCACACGCTCGCAACGAACGCTGAACGCTGAAAAACAAACACGCACACGAACGCAAAAATACCCACACACCGAATGTCATTACGTTTAGGTTTGGTCGTTCGACACGCTTAATTTTCATTCCTTTAGTCTGGCTGTAGAAAGCAAGACGCCTTTCGTCTTTTCCTCGACTGCGCCGAGTCGAGTCGTCGGTAACAGTTGTGTGTCATCATTATCTTTAATAAATTGTCGAAAACTGCCGGTTATGAACGGCGTGTTTATCTCATTTTAGGTACGTTTGGACTAGCGCGCGTTTAGATAAAAATTTGGTCGACATTTAATTTCGGTGCGACTTCCAGTCAACCGCCACAGCCACATGCAGGCGCAGACCATTACAGCTCCTCTTTAACATTCCACTCGAATTGTGATGGTCCACCTGGAATTCCACCGACCTCGTAACACTCACGCACGAGATAAAAATGACTGTTTTTCCAATCAAATTGCTCGTTTTTAACCCAAGTTACCTAATTTGGGCGCAAGTGTTTTGATTAAATCTCATTTTCAGTAAGTAGCTGAATATTGGGGTAATTCTAAAACTTCCTCTGGACCTTATTTATTAGCATTGGTGGTTACACCTAGATCTTGTCAAGATAAACCTTTGAAAGGCGATTATGCGCACAAAGCGAATTTCTTGTAAAATATGTAGCTCCTTTTCTCATTCTGGATGTAGTGTCTTGTCTAGTCTCTGGCGAACAACTCCAACACGCCAGCGTTTGCATTTTGTAGCCGTCGGCGAGCAGCACACCGGACAATACCCTTTTAACATGTTTTAAAATCATTAATAGGTTTGCCTATTTTGCATAAAACGTTTCAACGGGTGTAATTGATTTCCTATAATATATTCGCTCGTGTGGCAGCGATGCCACCAAGCAAGTTCTTCGCGTGCGCTTTTTGCAATGCCTGCAAAATGTCCCTAGCGAGCGAGCACTCCTTGCAGGCCTTGCAGGCTCCGAACTCGGCCGTAATATGTATGCGTCTATCACCCGGCGCACAGTAAAGTGTCAAGGCGCAAAAAGGAATTCAGTACTTAACAGTCATAGAACGTGTGTTAAATGTATGCATACGACGATGCAGTCGACGCATTCGCAACGCACACACATGTTTGCATGCTGTCCGGCAGCCGAACTTGAACACGACAGGCCAAGCTGCACAAGCTTTCGATTATTACACAGCACATTCTGCAACTCGGTCGCTGCGCGGATTATTTATGCTCGTGTTATTGTCATACATCAAATGCAGCATATTTTATTTTAAGCGCACGCAGCGTTCAGCTTATGCTTACAACGTGTAGGCATGATAAAATGTCAATTATTGTGTTACACGGCGTATTACCGTAAATGTGTCATTATTCCGATGAGCTTCTTATGTTTCCGATTATTCCGTAATGCTGTATGCGACGTATTAATTCCAAATTGTCACAGGTTTCTATTATTCTTCGATAAATTATCGAGCTTTTATACGTAAAGCTTTGAAAATTGAAGAACTTTAATTCATTTTAGTTGCTTGTTGTAAAATGCGTCTGAATGGTCCTAATAAACATAATACACTATTGTTAATCCCTGGCTAAGAATTTATTGGTTTCTTCTTCAGTGTGTGTCGTGTGTCTCACTCAATGTGTCCACATACTTCTTCTAACTGTTAAGCTTAAACTACTCAAAACCGAATGAATGTTTAGAAAGAGCATTTTAAGCACTTCTTCCACTCGGTTTTATGTTTGTTGTGCGCAGTGCGTTCTTTCAAAGAGGAGACTCACACAATTAAGGCGTTTTGGGGGCCCTCTTGGATTCACTTCTAAATCCAATAAAATGTGTCCCCTTCTAAACGAATTTAAACGGATTCCACGTATTTGATTCGATGCCATTGTTGTCTTTCTTTGTGTTCTTCATTACTTGCTGCGTTGCACTTCAAGTGTCTTTGTTTGTGTT